TATATATATATAAGGAAGAAGTTATAGTACTTCTAACGAGAGAAAAGTGTGTATATTAAAAAAAAAAAAGAGAGAAACCGCAAACGTTTTTGGTTGTATTATGGATGTTTTTTAAAATATTATGCTTTATTTTCCATAATTTTGCTCCACGTGTTTCCGGTCTCGTGACCGTCATCAGGAAAAGTGTGGAGATTTCCACATATTAGAAATAATTATTTTTTCCTCCTTTATGTTTTTCGATGTTAAATATTCTCGATATGAGACATCATCGTTTGTTTGTGTTAGTGACCCAAATGTCTATCTTGAACTGGCAGTGAAAAGTTCAGCGTGAAGGGTTATAAAACAATTAAGATTGGTCCGAGAAATGATGAAGTAGTTATCGGCATTATCTTTTAATGACCCCTGTATGTTCTTAGATCTATTTCAATTTCCGTGTGTTTCTGTCAGCATGTGTGTATATATATGTATATTCCCCCTCCACACATACACACACACACACACACACACATACATATATATATATATATATATATATATATATATATATATATATACTGTTACATTAGAACATGTATCCGCTACAAAATTGTACATTTCGTTTCAACGTTTAAAATAAAACATCACTTCAGGTGGTTAACCATGATGGTAATAAACAATCTTATTTAAAATTGCAATTAATGAAACATCACTTCATTCTCCATTCTTGGAGAATTTTTTTTTTTTTAAGGTAAAAAGGATTTATATAAAGAAAAAGGAAAGAAAATAAGAAATCAATAAAAGAAAAAGAAAGAGGAACGAAAAGAAAGGCAAGAGAAAGAAAAAGGATAAGAAATTAAACCTACTACGAAGAGAAAGAAGGAGAAAAGAGAAAGGCAAAAGAAATAGAGAAGTATATTCAAAATTACGCAGATACAAAGGAAGAGGAACGTAGCATATTGAAAGATGTTGATATGAATTAAGCCAATGAAATTGCGGTAAATTAACCACCTGAAAAGACGTATAAAACCACCCACCTCCGCGTTAAAAAAATGTTTTTCTGCGATATTTTAAATTAAAAGTAAGTAATATTTGTTTCAATTGGACTTTAAATCAGTTAATCTTCCTCAAATAAAGTTTCAGAAAAATATATTTTATTTTTGAAAGATTTCTTAATGTTGACAAATGTTATTTGTCAATATGGACGATTTTAGTGATTAAAAAAAATAATTCCATTTAATTTAAATACAGTTTAAAATACAACAATGTATTTTACTTGCTGGAAATATTGAATTTAATCTATTAAATTGGAATTAAAAATAAAATAAAAGCTGCAAGAAAGATTTTTCATTTTTAAAGTGCATTTTAAACTTTAGGTATCGTTTTTTTAGATAACTATATAAAGATTATTTTTTAAAATCATTTGATTTTTACTAGCGGGCTTTGAGAGATTGAGAAAAAATTTGGTGAAATATTAATTTAAAGAAATACGGAGATTTATTTTCACATACAGAGAATGAAACCTGTATTTACAAAATGTTAACTCTTAAGTTTAATATAACTTATGTATTTATAGTTTTTCGAAATTGCCCCGTTACACTGCCTGAGGGAGAATTCAACGTTTGGTTTTAGAGACATCTGCCTTGTTTGTAATCGCCAGCTTTTTAAGGATGTCATGACCTCGAAATTGTTGTCGCTTATTTTGTCGCCGTATATCATTATTTGCTAATCTTGACCTGATGTTATCATTATTATTTTCTCCCATTTTTTTTTTCTTTTGTACACTTTGTCACGAAATCTGCTGATACCTGTGCTTGCTCCTCTGATTGAAGGCTATAACTGATTCGAGATATAGAGAAAAAAAACCCTCTAATCTAAGATCTAGTCAGCAGACAATTTGAAAGCAAAAAAACAGAGAACAATACATCTGTCGGTATTAACCGGCTCTCAAAAGTATCTTCGGTTTACACAGAATTTTACTTCAAAGTGTATTTCATATACACACCCAAAGAATAAAGACTATGACTATTATTATTTTTATTTCCTTTGATTTCTGGCGTTTACACATTTCTATCTGGTTAGAAATGACATCATGACACTTTCCATTGACAAAAAAATACATAGATAAAGCCCTTCGTAAAGTGTGGACTGTACTTGTCAAAACAATTTTTTGTATCTCTTTGAGGCATGGACTTCCAGGAATCCCTTCAATTAGTCTACTGGAATCTTTTCCAACCAATCCTAGGGCTCCAACTACAACAGGGATTGTTGATGTTCCCATGTGCCACATTTTTGAGATTTCTATTTCAAGGTCCTTGCATTTTGACAGCTTTTTGAATATCTTCAAAGATACATTGCACTCTGCAGGGACTGCCATATCAATAAGGAGGTACTTTTTTGTTTGTGGTCTTGTTGTGGTCTTTAATAGCTATTATTATTATTATTATTATTATTACTTTTTTTCCTTTGGTATCTGTTGTATACTCAATTCTTTCCGGGTCCCAACCAGAGACCTAAGGCCAGAAATGGCATCATGAGATTTTCTACTGAACAGTTTTGAAAAAAGAAATCGTACATAGTTTACATAGACAGAGCCCTTCGTAAGGTGTGGGCTGTACTTGTGAGTACAAGTTTTTGTATTACTTTAAGGCATGGGCTACCAGGGATTCCTTCAATGAGTTTATCAGAATTTTTTCCAATCAATCCGTGGCCTACAACTACAACTGGAATTGTTAATGTTCTCATGCGCAACATTTTTGAGATTTCGATTTCAAGGTCCTTGTATTTTGATAGTTTTTTGAAGTAGTAGTAGTAGTTGTTGTTGTTCCTCCCCCTTCCCCTCCTCCTCGTTAGTTCGCATGACTACTATGTCCTGCCAATACCTCATAAATAATGGACTATTCCATTCTGATCGCATGAAGATAGGGAAAAAGACACCACTTAGTTTCATAACTCTATCGTAGACTAGTCTATTGGGCAATTTCCTTATCTCCTATACTCAGTTTGTATAACTGATCTATACTTTTGTAGCCCATAATAAATATCGAGTGTTATACATCTTTTTACGGGTTATCCAGGTCGCTATGTACCTGGTGAAGGCCGGAGGGCATAACGGGTGAAATATTGTTATAATAACAACAAAGATGAGGACAATAGTTCGATTGTAGATAGTGTAAATGATGATAACTCGGAAATTCAGACGGATATTCAAAGAATAGAAAATTGTGGAGAGCCATGATCGCCAACGCTCCTAAGGGGCACGACAGATAGTAATAGTACTTGGTTAATATTTTTAAAAAAAACTGCAAACTAGCTGGACTTGCATCTAGCCTAAATCCATAATACTGTAATAAATTTAAAATTGCTTTTATCAGGCATCAAATATAGCTTTTTTTTAAATGCCATTTCTCTTCGTGACTCTCCACAAATTCCCTTTATTATCTGTGAATTTCCATGGCTTCTTAACGGTTTCCAAATTTAAATATTTCTTCTGGACTGGCTGCCACCCAAACTTACGCGGCTACTTACTCCATACTTGGAAAAGAGGATGAGTTAAATGCCTTTCCTAAAGGCATTAGCGCGAATAGAATGCAATAGATTAGGCGTGAATTTGAACTCGGTTGACTAATTCCATTTTCCGCGCCGATAACCGTCACGCTAACGGCACATACTATTAATGCTTCGAATAAAAGTTCACATATTTTGTAGAAACGTCATTATATTTGGAATAAAAGTACATATAAATTTGGATAATCTTTTAATATCTAGCGATCTATATATCTGAGGCTGAGCGTATATAATAAATACTTCAAAATAATTCAATGTCTGTCAGTAGTTATTTTCGTTTTAGGTCACGCGCTATAACATATCAAACTTACTCCATATTCAAGATGTTCCTCACAATGTGGCAACTGGTAGTATTTTTTTTTTATTCATTTATATATATATTATTTTTCATTTAATGACATGTCCCATCAGGACGTAGGTGATCATGCCTCTCCACGGTTTCCGTCTTTTTTTTTTCTTTTTTTTTTTAAGCGCGTTTCACCCCAAGCAAGGCGGGAAGCAAGGGGTTACAGAGAGTTGGAGCTAGAGCAAAGAGGAGTGATAGAGAAAAGGATGAAGAGAAGGATAGGGGATAGATCAAGGCATCTGGAGACGTCGATTGACATTACATTTGAATAGTTGGAGATTATAGCTATCAGGGAAACAGGAAAAGGGGAGGGAGTTCCACAGGCGAGAAGTGCGAGACATGAAGCTATTGGAGTAGAAGAGACGGCTACATTTAACAGTTTCGACAGTGAAAGGGTGAGAGCGAGATGCCAGCCTATTTGAACGCTTAAATTCATGAAGTCTGGGAACCAGTGAAAGCAGATCATCGGAGCAGTTACCGTGAAAGTATTTGTAAAAAAGACAGAAGGAGGCAACGACACGTATATGAGAGAGTGGCTGCAGACGAGATGGCAGATCAGGGCCAATTACATTGCATATTCGTCTTTGGATTTTATCAAGGACCTTGAGACAAACAGAAGGGGCTCCAGACCATATATGACAGCAATACTCCATGCAAGGGTGAATGGTTGATCTGTAGATTTGAAGGATCGACTTCGGCGAGAAAAATTTCCTGGCACGGCACAGGGAGCCAAATTTCCTAGCGGTGGACGAAGCTATTCGTTTCGTTTAGCTAGTTTCGACAGTGAAAGGGCGTGAGCGAGATGCCAGCCTCGTAGAACGCTTAAATTCGTGAAGTCTGGGAGAAAGCAGCTCCTCAGAGCAGTTACCATGGAAGTATTTGAGAAACAAAGAGCAGTGTTTTCCCGTTGCCTTCTCTACGGATTCTACCCTTCTTCTTAGACTGACTAGAGAATCAAATCTACCCTGCTATTTTACCATAGCTTGGAAGAGAAGAGGTTAAAACGGTCAAAACGTTACAATTATAACAACCAGGGTGAACATGGCGGGGGAGGGGGTCCGAATAGGGAGACATATAATAATGATAATTCCTCATCACAAAAATTCCAGGCTTACGGCCACATCACATAGAAACATCGATTCCCGTACGATCACCAAAGTTAAACAACGTCGAGCCTGGTTAGTACCTAGATGGGTGACTGCTTGGGAATAACAGGCGCTGTAAACTTAGATTTACGGGTGGTGTAATGGATAAGGACTCAGAATTGTTAATCGATGGGTCGAGTTCCAATTTCAGTGGGGTTCGTTATATTCACTTTCGCGCAAATACCCTTGGAAAAAGGTATGAAACACTTCTTCTCCCCCCAGCTATGGGTTAATTAGTAAAATTTGTATCAATAAAAACAAGAATTATCTCCAAAATTAAAATAAAATATTGGAGAAAATATTTATATTTCGGCATTAAAGAATCCATAGAGGTCGATATGCTAATTAAACAAAATCAAACATTAAAAAAATTCTAATATAAAATGAATGACGCTTAAAAGTAACACAAGGGAAAATAAAATAAACAATGAAGAAAAGCATAAGTGATTTTAGTTGCTGGCGAATACATCATGAATCGAGTCCATTAGGGTCTTAGAGGCAGCGCATGTACTGCAGCTGTAACAGCAGTGATGTGTCTAGAACAAGATAACTGGAGTTCATCTCTCTTCAGGTTGGTTTTGAATTCAGATGCGTCCATCACCTAGATTGAAAGAGCCTGGTCTGTCGTGCTCTTTAACCCATAGCTGGGGGAAGATTGATTCAAACAATTACCAAGGGTATTAGCGCGAAGTGGGTGTGCAGGTGGTGTAATTGTTAGAGATAAGAAATCCGCGAGCTGTTCGAATTCTTGTCGAATTCGTGACATTTACTTTCATGCAAATATCCTTTGTAAAAGGTATGGGTCCATCACTTCCCCAGCTATGGATTAAACAGCCTCTAGTCTTGGTTGGTTGCCGGTCTAGGAGAAAGAGAATTTTGAATCCAAAACCTGATGATGATAGCGTAAGCGAACAAAACAGAATCGACCGGGATTTGAACTCGGCTTGCCGATTTTATGTTTCGAGAACCGTGACACTGATTGGCACCTACCGAATGGTTATCACTAAGTTTGATAACTAAACGCCAGTTCTACCCTTCACGTCCAGGACCTGCCATGCCGCTTACATTGTAGGAAACCGCCCACATTTCCTCAGTATACAATCGGTGAGAAGTAAATTCCACTCGAATAGCTCATTGCTGCGAACCACGACTCTGTAGAACAGACTCTTAAGAGGATGTTTCCCCGATCACTACAATCTTCACCTGTTCAAGTCTAGAGTCAACCATTATTTTTTCTTCCTATTCATATAAACTACTACTTAATGTAACCCTCTATCTCGAGTGGGCTCCACGCTCTGTATAGGTTGAACCTTACTGTAAAATTGAATAAATAAATAGACGTCTGTCCGTAACACCAAAATAGTTATAAAAAACACAAAAAAAACCCTAATCTGAAACCGTTATGCATACAAACTGTTACTTAAAATACAAATAAATTCAAACAAAGCAAACATATTTAACAAAATAATATTTTTAAAAAAGAAAAGAAATAAAGCATAAATTGGTAAACTTACGTTAAATTATATCCAAATATGTTGCAGCTAATTTCAGGAAATTCTTTTTCTTATTTTTTTCATCCAGTTTAAAAGCTTCTACCTCAAATGTTACGCTTTTTAGTTTGCCGTTTTACTCCCCGATGTCAGACGTTTCACGCCGTGTCTTGTTAATGTACGAGTGACTTCATACCTAATAATGAAATATCTTACCCTGTTCCTTCAACCATATGATTGTCTCCTTTCTTTCCCCCACCCTTCTATTTTTTTTAAATTATTCAGTAATCCACTGCCCTTAATTCTTACCACAGGGTCTTTACAGATTTTTTTTCCTTCGATCATTCATTCAGTCAGCCGTTTTTCTTTCCTCACTTTGCATTACATTGATTTTTTGTACTTCTTTTCTCTTTGCTTTTTGTTTTCTTTTTTGCATCTTTCTTTTCTTTTTTATATTGTGTCTTATGTTTCTTTCTTTCTTTCTTTCTTTCGTTCTTTCTTTCTTTCTTTCTTTCTTTCTTTTTTTCTTTCTCGCTTTCTTTCTTTGAAAGCTTTCTCTTCTTCACACATTCATACTTATAACTCCTCCCCCATCATTTTTTCCAGTCAATATACTTCATTCTTTCTTTTTTTCTGTTTCCTCTTACCCTCATGACTTTCATCCTCTTTTCTCTCACTTCTTTCTTTCTTTCTTTCTTTCTTTCTTTCTTTCTTTCTTTCTTTCTTTCTTTCCCATCGTTCCTTTTCTTTCGTTCTTTCTTTCTTTTTTCTTTTTTCTTTTTTTTTTAAACGTTCTCGTCTTCTCCCATTCATACTTGTATATACTTCACTTTCTTTCACTTTATTCTTCTCTCCCTTCTTCCAGTCAAAATATCTTTCACTTTCTTTCTTTGAAAGCTTTCTTTCATCCATTCACATTAATATATACTTCACTTTTCCTCGTTCTATTGTTTTCTCTCTCCTGCCAGGCAATATGTCTCACATTAATTCTGTCTTTCTTTCTGTTTTTCTTTCTTTCTTTCTTTCTTTTCACACATCCACACTAATAACCCTTTCCATCTCTTATCCTTCTCTTTTTCTCTATCTCCTTCTCTCAATTCCTCTCTGAAAAAGTGTGTCGACAGGGACACACGATCACCTGTCCATTTGCCGGCTGCCCTAAGCACATGGCAAGGATGCTGCTCAGAATGTCTTCTTTTGTTTAATTATAATCCGATAACGGCACTCTGCTTCATACCCCTCTTCTGCACACACAAACATACACACATACATACATATCTATCTATCTATCTATCTATCTATCTATCTATCTATCTATCTATCTATCTATCTATCTATGTCAGTCTGTTCATATCTATCTCTCTATCTTTCTATCTATGTCAGTCTGTTCATATCTATCTAATAAATCTATCTATGTCAGTCTGTTCATATCTATCTATCTATCTATCTATCTATCTATCTATCTATCTATCTATCTATGTCAGTCTCTTCATATCTATCTATCTATCTATCTATCTATCTATCTATCTATCTATCTATCTATGTTAGTCTGTTCATATCTATCTATCTATCTATCTATCTATCAATCTATGTCAGTCTGTTCATATCTATATCTATCTATCTATCTATCTATCTATCTATCTATCTATCTATCTATGTCAGTCTGTTCATATCTATCTAATAAATCTATCTATGTCAGTCTCTTCATATCTATGTCAGTCTCTTCATATCTATCTATCTATCTATCTATCTATCTATCTATCTATCTATCTATCTATGTCAGTCTGTTCATATCTATCTATCTATCTATCTATCTATCTATCTATGTCAGTCTGTTCATATCTATCTATCTATCTATCGATCTATCTATCTATCTATCTATCTATCTATCTATCTCAGTCTGTTCATATTTATTCACTGCCATATAGACTATTAGATATTACATAGCAATCCAACACTATTTCTTTTGCGTCTAATAAAATTTGGTTATCCCATTGCGCCTTCGAATTTTATTGTCGCGCCTTCCGTCCCCTGTTAAAATGACCCCAGATATTTAAATCTTTGCACATGTTTTATTTCTGCATCTCCGATTTGCAATTGGCATTGTGGGTTTATCCTTTTGTTAACAACGATGCATTCTGTCTTCTTGTAGTTGATGTTTAATATTTGTGGCAGACAAAAACTTGCCTCTATACTTTTGTGTGTATGAGTGTGTTCATTTGCGCGTATGCGCGCACACATACTCACAATAGATACAGTTCAGGAATTCCTCTCATTGCTTCGAAAAGCTGAAAAAAAAGTACCCTATTAAGCTGTTAGAATCCTTAACGAAAGTTTTGCAGCAGATTTCTGATTTTCCGACAGGCTCTGGTGAAAGATTTTTTTTTGTGCGTGCGAGCATACAAACCGGAAGTGAAATATTTATTTTTAAAGTCACAATTTCCTGCACAAGATGGCACGACCAGTTTGCATGATCCAACATAGCGATAATGGATAGGTGAGGCGTATTTCTTAATGTAGTAGTTAGAAACGTGGGTTAGAAAATGTGGGTTTAAAAATGAAAACGCGTGACAGGATTCCCCAACCAAGAGCTGCTTTATTAAAAGAATATTCTGCATAATGACCCTGTTTTCATCGATGTTGATGTTCAAGTTTACAAAAAGGCAAAGCTTCCAAATGTTATGCTGTGAAACACTTGCTGCAAAAGTTTCGCTATTCCGCCAAGTCATGAAACCTTCCCTATATTTGAAAGGTCAGTGATTTGCAAGTGATATAAACAGGTAAATGCCTTTAATATTTTCTCTCATAACTTTTTCTAGTTGCTAATCTACATTTGTCTTACAGCTTCTTAAAATTCCAAATCGTTTGAACTTTTAAAAGAATACGACATTAGCCGATTCTGAACACACAGTTGCGCATGTGCAGTTGTGTTCCGCATAAGTGACACAATTTCAGTGACATTTTCCCAATTAACTGTTTGACATGTTGAACTAGTTTACGACATCATTAACGTTCTTAGATAACATTTTAATAGTTTAATTATTTCCTTAATTAGTAAATTTTATTTGATAGTCAAATAATATGGTAAAATAAAAAGATGAATGAGAGATTTTATTTGACGTTAGCCACAGTAACAGTTTTATTTTAATTTTATTAGATGAAGCATTGTCAGCCATTACTGCTAATTTTAACTATTATTTACTTTTACTTTAGAAGCAAATTAAAAATTAAGGACAATGTAAATAACAGTAAAAGGTTAATAATGATCATTTGTCGTGAGTATTTTCGGATTTCTGGAGTTGATATGACCATCAAGAAGATGTCTAAATAGAAAAGAAAAAATGAAAATTGGCGTCCTCAATTCCATAAAGCAAAATACCCATGTAAAAATTCAAACAATAAATACATCATATATATATATATATATATATATATATATATATATATATATATATATATATGATGTATACATGATATATGATGTATACATGATATATGCATCATATATATATATATATATATATAGATAGATAGAGATAGATAGATAGATAGATAGATAGAGAGATAGATAGATAATATTAGTGGTAAATATACATACATATGCAAAATATATAAATACCCATACATGTATATTTTTTGAATAAAAATTCCAAGAGGATAGAATCCAGGTAGAACTCAATATCCAGGACAGAGTAAGGATATAATAAAAAGGCTTAAACACTCTCTCTAAATTCTGTTTTTATTTCCGGAGTTGTTTTTTTCTGTTTTCTTTTTGAATTTGTAGGTCTGATGAATTGGATCGTATTTACGATTCCAATGGAATAAATTATTACCATGGAATATTAGTGTTTAAGACTTTTTATTATATATATATATATATATATATATATATATATATATATATATGTATATATGATGTATACATGATATATGTATCATATATATATATATATGATGTATAATGTATGATGTGTAAACAGTGTGAATGTTTGCTGAGGCTTGCTATTACTTGTCTCTAACTTTTTTGTGTTCATTTTTTTCCCTCCTTCTCCTTCTCATTACACTTTTTTCTGTTTTTTTTTTAATTTAAGTTAAATCTCCCGTAGAGGCCTGAAGAGCGGGAGCGAAACCGGTTGCTTCGCGTTTAACATGTCTTGTAATATTAAGCTGCACACTTTTTTTTTTTGTAATTAGATTTTGTACCTTCAAAATCAAGCATCATATCATTTGGCCAACGGGCTACGGTGGCGATGGCGTAGTTGGGGAACTAAGGTACTAGACATAATATAGCATAAACACGCACGGCTGACACCTAGAGCAACGACTTCCTTCACCGGGCCGCACCAGCCAGTACTTTTCTGCATGTACGTGCGGTGAGGATTCACTTCTAAGAATCATTATGACAATACATACATACATATATATATATATATATATATATATATATATATATATATATATATATATATATATATATATATATATATATATATATATATATATGATATATATATCATATATATATATATGATGTATAATGTATGATGTGTAAACAGTGTGAATGTTTGCTGAGGCTTGCTATTACTTGTCTCTAACTATTTGTGTTCATTTTTTTCCCTCCTTCTCCTTCTCATTACACTTTTTCTGTTTTTTTTAATTTAAGTTAAATCTCCCGTAGAGGCCTGAAGAGCGGGAGCGAAACCGGTTGCTTCGCGTTTAACATGTCTTGTAATATTAAGCTGCACACTTTTATTTTTGTAATTAGATTTTGTACCTTCAAAATCAAGCATCATATCATTTGGCCAACGGGCTACGGTGGCGATGGCGTAGTTGGGGAACTAAGGTACTAGACATAATATAGCATAAACACGCACGGCTGACACCTAGAGCAACGACTTCCTTCACCGGGCCGCACCAGCCAGTACTTTTCTGCATGTACGTGCGGTGAGGATTCCGCTTCTAAGAATCATTATGACAATACATACATACATACATATATATATATATATATATATATATATATATATATATATATATATATATATATATGATGTATACATGATATATGTATCATATATATATATATATGATGTATAATGTATGATGTGTAAACAGTGTGAATGTTTGCTGAGGCTTGCTATTACTTGTCTCTAACTTTTTGTGTTCATTTTTTTCCCTCCTTCTCCTTCTCATTACACTTTTTCTGTTTTTTTTAATTTAAGTTAAATCTCCCGTAGAGGCCTGAAGAGCGGGAGCGAAACCGGTTGCTTCGCGTTTAACATGTCTTGTAATATTAAGCTGCACACTTTTATTTTTGTAATTAGATTTTGTACCTTCAAAATCAAGCATCATATCATTTGGCCAACGGGCTACGGTGGCGATGGCGTAGTTGGGGAACTAAGGTACTAGACATAATATAGCATAAACACGCACGGCTGACACCTAGAGCAACGACTTCCTTCACCGGGCCGCACCAGCCAGTACTTTTCTGCATGTACGTGCGGTGAGGATTCCCTTCTAAGAATCATTATGACAATACATACATATATATATATATATATATATATATATATATATATATATATATATATATATATATATATATGTATACATGATATATATATATATATATATATATGTATAATGTATGATGTTAAACAGTGTGAATGTTTGCTTAAACTTGTCTCTAACTTTTTTGTGTTCATTTTTTTTCCTCCTTCTCCTTCTCATTACACTTTTTCTGTTTTTTAATTTAAGTTAAATCTCCCGTAGAGGCCTGAAGAGCAGGGGACGAAACCCGGTTGCTTCGCGTTTAACATGTCTTGTAATATTAAGCTGCACACTTTTTATTTTTGTAATTAGATTTTGTACCTTCAAAATCACATCATATCATTTGGCCAACGGACGGTGGCGATCGTAGGTACTAGACATAATATAGCATAAACACGCACGGCTGACACCTAGAGCAACGACTTCCTTCACCGGGCCGCACCAGCCAGTACTTTTCTGCATGTACGTGCGGTGAGGATTCCGCTTCTAAGAATCATTATGACAATACATACATACATACATATATATATATATATATATATATATATATATATATATATATATATATATATATATATATATATATATATAGTTAGTTAAACTTAGAGGAACAAACCTACAAGGTCTCACCTAAGCGGATCGTCAGGAAGGCCGGCTCGTCAGGAGAGCCGGCCTTTGACGATCCGCTTAGGTGAAACCCTGGGCTCTAGGTTTAACTAGGTCTGCTCTACTCATTGTATTGAGCACTTTATTTAGTTATTTTGGATACTCGCATCGGGTTCTTTTTCTTTGGACCTTGAACTCATATACTGGACGATTATTTTCGGCTAACGTATATGTTCTTGGTTCTTTCTTTTTTTATACTTTTTTTTCCCTTTGGTATTGGCTTCTTTATTTGCAAATCAATACACCGAACGTTTTCGGAGCGAGTATTTCTATTAATAATATATATATATATATATATATATATATATATATATAAACATAAAACATTAGGCAGCATATAATTTACATACAAAGAAATAATCACACATAGAATCAATCAGAAGTATTAATGCGATTATTGGCGACATCCATCGCTAGAAACATAATATATGCATTAAAATACTGTTAATGCATAGAGCGAAGTGATCCTCGTCGATAAACTTGATGTCTGTAGTTTTCAGTTTATTTGATGTTAAAATGCTAGTTCTTACGAATCGTCCTCTATTCATCATCAGGCATGTGTTTTTTTCCTCATAAAATCAAAAACTTGGAGACGAATTACTTGTACGTCGACCGAAAGATGTTTTTTGAATATCTGCTATTATTGACGGTTGTGTAAGATCTCGGAACGTGCAAAGACGCAACGCTAAGTTTTTCAAAATTTTAAGTGAGA